TTGTTTGAATTTTTATGATAATCAGCAATAGATGTAGCTCATACAAAACAAAAGGTTCATTGGCATCTTTCTGTTTAAGACAGTAATGCAGTTTGGTGAAGAAAAACAAAAAAAGTAATAGCTACGCTAATAGAGAATTAAAAATGGAGGAAGGACAGGACTGATTATTGAAAATGAGAAAATCAGTGATTTTTAGCATTAAATTTTCAAATTCATAATCAAGTACATGTAACTAAAGACAAGTAGAGGCCAGTGCTGGTCCTGAAGCTACACCACAGACACCTTCGCAGGCCGCAGGAAGACCCCCAAGTGCTGGGTCCACTCTTCCAGCTTCCTCCTCCAGCCTCACCCTCACAGGCCTGCCCCATACCTGACTCCATAAGGACGTGGACCAAACCCCACAGCTTGCCCAAAGCTGCACCCTTCTTCCAGCTCCTTTTGACCTGTGGCTGCAGATCAGGACCAGAGATCAAGGATAAAATTGATAAACTCTTTCCAGCAAAGGGCAGAGAGAATTTCTAACTTTTCACATTATTACACTTGATTTCAGAATAACATTTTTCCTAAATGTTGAAACAGTATTTAATTCTACGTAAGACTGTAGAATGGGATAAAGGTGAGGTTTCTTCAGTTAGTGAGAAGATGCAGCGGAAAAAGCACCAAGTCCAGGCCCCTCTATCATGTTCATTTTATTGGTGTCACTGACTGCTACCTATTGGGACATCCTTGTGTCCTTATGCTCTAATTTGGTAAGTATGAAAGTGTGATACAAGTGAAACCCTGCCCTTGAAAGCAGCACTTTGGAAACAGTAAGACAAGGGCCCCCCCGGACGAGGCCTCTCGCTCCTTCCCGGCTCTGCAGTGGCGGAGGTGTCTGGCTAGGCAAGAGGATGGGTTCTCCGCTCCCTGGAGCTACTTTGGAATCTAAGTTTCTGTGTAACTGAAGTTGGAACCAGATGGTGCATTTTTCTTGAAATCATGGGCTGTCACTGCCTAGTCACTGACAGCAGGTAGGCAAGCCAGGCCGGCGCTGCCGTCATCTCCTGAGTGTCGCTATCATTTTCAAAGGCAGCAGCCTCTTCTAGCTCTTCCCACCGAAGGAGAGCAGATGGCTGGAAGCGGAGAGGCGCAAGCTGAGCACAATCTGCTCTGCTCCTGGCGGCGGGCAGACGTCCTCCCTCGTCCCTGCTCTGCAGTAACGTGTGCCCTCAGGGAGCCAGACCCTGTCCGGGCCAGCCAGCAGGCAGGTGGGGGCAACGCGGTGCAGGATTCAGGATCGGGAGCAAGTGCGCTTAGATGTTTGTCCTCAAGAAGTGGCATGGGCAGCATGGTGTGGCGGTTACGAGCACACTCGTGCATGTTCTAGTCAAATTTATTTTTCCTCAATACAGTAAAATATTATTTCTTTCCCGAACAACGTTCATTGAATGTGAAGTACAATTCGGCTGCTTCATCCTGACCCATAAGACCGTCCACGTGACCATCTTGTCCGACTTTTCCACAGCATCCCCTGCACTTCTGGAATATTCTCTGACCTTAGCTGTCTTTGACTTCCTTCATATGGCTGCCTTCACCTTACACTTGTCATCGGATCTTTCTGTGACATTACTTTAAGGTCCATAACCGGGTGGGCTTTCTTACAAATTCCGAACGGTCGCCCCAACAGTCCTTCCCCAGCATCACGTCGTTTTCTAAAATCCCGCTGGAACATCCGGAGCTCCCTTGCACTGTCGTGATTGTCCCTCCTGCGAGGCGAGTGCTTGTTCTATCCAGCACTGCGCAGGCTGCACGTGCGTCTAAGTGGTCTGTAAACTTTGCCTTCCTCCTTCTCCGAGCTCGGGATGTGGCAACCGAACCACGTTACTGCTGCTCAGCGAGTTGTTCTTGCTGCGGCGCTGCGCGCACTGAGGTGGGGACCATGCAGAAGCTGCCGCGGGCCACGCTTCGCCTGCTCAGCTGTCCCCTTTCCCTCGCTCGCCTGCACGCGAAGGGGCCGCCGCCAGGATTTCATCCCAGATAGCCAACCGGCGGACACCTTCTCAGAATAGAGAACTTGGAGAAAGGGAAGGTTTCATTCTCACATTTATTTCTGCAGGGCAATAAGTGAATCTGCAGAAGAAGCATTTTAGTGCTAGATGCGCTGCAGTCCACAAAAATGAAATGTGTGGCCCTGCGGAAAAGGCCCTTCCTCTGTTTATTTTTGTGCCACTCTTCCACAGAAATGAACCACCTCTTCCTGAAAGACATTAGCACATTTTCTGTTAGATGCTCTGAAATTTTAAAAATATAGTTACAATACTGTTATTTGAAAACACCATATAACCTCGTATTTATGTCCTTCATTTTTGAAGCATTTAACTATTTTTGAAGTGCGTTGAAATACAGCATGAATATTTAAAGTTTAGAAAATGATAGCAAAAACGCACTGCCATTGATCCTCCCCCAAGCACCCCCCTTGCCTCGGATGCTGCGCGTCATCGTCGCCACAAAGAGCTTCTGTAAGCCGGCTTGCAGGACCGCTTTTCACAAAGTGGGAGGGAAACCATAGTGAGTGCGCCAGCGGGGCGCCATCCAACCGGAGGGAAGACGCGTGAGGACTTTGCGGGAGCCGGAGTGCACCACGTCTCGCCCTCGTGACTCTTCCCCAGCCCGAGTTGCAACGACCCTGAAGGGAAAAACGTTCTGGTCAGCGGAGCAGCCCGCAGAGCTGGAGACCCAGAAACGAGGACGCCGGGAGGGCGTCAGCATGAGGTCGCGGGTTTAGCGAAGGGCAATTTTTTGTTTGTTTGTTTTCTTTTATAGTCTCATTTTTAATGATTTTTTAAAAAACGTTTGCAAAATACCATATAGAATTATATCTTTCTTACATTATTAGAAAGAAGCTTTTAGATTCTTTTGCACCTTAACGTTGCATCATTATTTCTTGTTGTTTTTGTCTCTTTTTTGAAATTCATTTTAATGAGAAAAAAAGATAGCAATGAAACTATTTCAAATCAGGTTAGTAGAATGGTTACAATAATTAATACATTGCATATTGTTGTCTTCACAGTAGTGGTTATTCAGAGGACAAGATGCAGACGTGATATCTCGTCTAAACAATATTAGTACAAACATTTATTCTCAATGACCTAAGATAAAGTAGCTGTACATCTATCCAAACTCTCTTGTGTATACACATACATTTTTTTCTCTTTTTTTTCCACAACCAAAAGGTCCTTCATTGACACTTTTGTGAAGTTAGTAACACAAGACACTAAGTTGCCTAGCAACTGATGGCTGACCTTAACCAGACAGGATGTTTATCGCAGGAGACAGGCAGCTTGTTTGCTTGAGGTATTGGGCCACGTCCCACCTACACACATTTGATCAATTTCCTAGCTTGGTGGCTCCAACATATCCCCCTTTTGCATTTTCTTTTGTCAGAAATGGTGTGCCGCTGCAGTTAGAGAAGCAGTATTTGGAGAAGTTTTTAATAGACCTTTTCATACTTGAAGCCAGTCCAAAGATTGTAGGTACTGGAATTCAGCAAAATAACCCGATATAGCCCAACAGTCCATAGTAGTAGTGGGTTATCAGCAGAACTGGCAAGGTCAGAAGTTGGCGACTTGAGCCTTTTACAGCTCAGCATATTAGTATGTCATTATTTTTATACCTCATGGTTATACTTTTCTGCTGGATGGTTAAGACCAAGTTAAAGCAAGACATATATAACTAAAGATGTAACTTTTGTATCTGACAAGGTCATTCAAACCCACAGAGGGGATATTTTGAGAGGAATTAGTGGCAATGTGTCTCGCACTATAATACATTTTTTAAAATTTATATATTCACCATATTTCCAATCATACCTTGTAAATATTCTTTAAAACATCAAAACTTTAATAATATACTGTGAAATCCTAGTAATTTTGTTCACTGTTTTGTTCTTTTACATAATAGCATTTCTCCATAAAGGTCACATTTCTTCCCCATTAGAGAAAATATTCATGATGACCCCATTGTACCTCCCTTTTTAAGTTAATGAACAGGTAGTATCCAAAATATAAACAAACAATCCAAACTGGACTTTGTTTAAATAATTATAAGTACTACAAATGTCAATAATTTTTTTAAATTCCTCAGTTATATTTTACTAGCATTACTTCTGACTTATAATTACTTCTACCTTATTCCAGTATGTGTCTGTGGTTCACTGTGCAAAAGATTAAATGATTCACATGATACAACTTGAGTTATTATGTAGTTGAGCTTCAGTATAAGCTTATATAGATTTAAGATGTACGATCTAACATTTAGATTTATATGGACCTACATCATGATTATCAAATTTAAACTAGTTAAGAAATTCATCATGATATAAAGTTGACTTTTGTGTAAGTGTGTGTGGGGAATGTTTGAGACCATGTACAATTTACTATGTCGGAAAGTTTCACGTACACAATATAATAGGTGTGTCCATGAAGAAATAGATAGGTATCCACAATTGGGACCGCTGGATCACATGACATTTATATTTCTAGTATTTTTAGAATCTGCCGTATGTCTCACCATGATAACTATACCAATTTACCATCCAATCAACAGTGTAGATAGTTCCCTTTTATCCAGATTTTTCCCAACATTTATTATGATTTGACTTTTTGATATTAGCTATCAGGCACATATGGTATCTTATTGTGGTGTTAGCTTCATTTCCATGATAATTGTTGGTACCGAGTGAGTATATTTCAGGTGTTTATTGGCCAGTTGTGTGGTTTACCCTGAACTTTTTAAAAAATATTTATTTATTTATTTATTGGTTTGTTTATTTATTTGGTACAGGGTCTCCCTACACAGCCCAGACTTGTAGTGATCTTCCTGTCTCAGCCTCCCCAGTGCAGGAATTAGCGGTGTGTGCCACCACACCTGGTTTCTCCTGACTCTCCAAATCTATGTAGTGTCCCCCCCCCCGAGAAAACTGGAAAGCCAGACTGATCTTACGTGTCTTTTTCTGCATCTAGAAGATGTTGAAGACGTGCCGGCTTCCACGAGAGCTAAAGGTGGGTTTGTCGTCCTCGCCTCTGTTTCGTGCTTCCTCTCGCGGCTGTGGAATGTTTTGTCTGTCCTGGTCTGTTCCAATATTCTTGGCCTCATCTGCAGTGTTGTAAAACAGAGTTTACATAGCTAAACTTATTTGTCTTACTAATTTTTCTTATATTATTCAGAAAATATATTTCTTCTCATATTAAATAAGTTTATGCATGAACTCATTTACTAATAATTATCAAATGTATTGACAAATCTGCAGGTGTATTCCTTAAAAAATCCTCACTGCATCAAGGATCAAAAACTTACTACTGCATCAAAACGTATAATACAGTGATTCCACCAAAGATTAGTTTTTATTAAGAAAAAAGATAAATCACCTACCTATATTAGCTGCACTATCATTAAAGGGAAGTAAGGAAAGAAGGAAGGAAGAGAGGGAGAGAGGGAAGAAGGGAGAGGAAAGGAGACAGATGAAACGAAGAAAGACCAAAAAAAAGAGAGTGAAAGAACAAATTAAAAACTTCCAAAGTAGAGGAAAAACACTCAGAAAACCCTGCAGCCTCCAGGAACATGGCTCCATCTGTAATGTGAGCATTTGAACTGAACTTGTGGGTTTTTTAATCTTGTTTCCTGGAGGATTTTTCACTTTCTAGTTGGAACTCAGTAAGAAAATGTGTCTGTCCCACTTCCCACACTTTTGTAGATAACAATAGTTTCCCAAAGAATTTTCCTCATCATTAAAGCGTGAGTTCTGTGGCTCTGTCCAAGCTTACCTGGCAATGTGGAAAATTATCCGCTGAGAAAAGTCACCCGGGAATGAATACATCAGCCTCGTAAAATAAAATCTACATTTGCACCTGTACTAAGATACCCTTCTAGAGAAGGCTGTATCTTCCGTAGGAGTGTGCATTAGTATAATCATTGTTGTATAGATTCTTACAAACTAAAAAGCAGCACTGCTGTGTGATGCGTCAGCACCACTCCTGGAGCACTAGAGCGGAGTGATTCTTGCCCTCTCATGATGGTTGCATCAGTTTTCACAGGCAGTAGCTCAGACATGGAATCAACCTAGATGCCCTTCAGTGGATGGATGGCGTTTCAGTTAATTTTCCTTGTTGCTGGGACAAAAATACCTAACACCTAAAATTAAGGAAGCAAAGGCTTATTTAGCTCACAGTTGGTGGAGGTTTCAGTCCATACTCAGCTGGCTCCGAGGCAGAGCGGCACATGGAAGAGGGCAGCCTCTCACGGTGGTAGAAAACAGCCAAGAACCAAAAGGGAGGTGCAGCGGCTAGCAAGCTTCTTTCCCTTATATTGGATACAGATTACCCACCCCAGGACTGTTTCAGCACTCACACCATAATCCCCGCATTGGATCATGAATTAGTCACAAGCTCTAGAAGTCTGCCCCATGACCGCATGAGGCTTTAGGGGAACAACTCGATACAAACCAATAACAGATGGATAAAGAAAATGTGGTACCTCTGTGCAATGGAATGTTATGTAGTCACAAAAAGAACACACTTGCAATGACTGGAGTGAATGTGGGCTCATCGTATTAAGTAAAATCCTCTAGATAGAAAAAAAAAAAAAAAAAAGTGCTATAGGCACTCGATCATTTGTGGAGGCCAGAAAGTCAGTCGTGTAAAGCAGCATGGAGTGGTGTTCATTGGAGTCCAGAAGTAAGTGTGCAGGTGGGGTGCACACATAAGGGGCACCAAAAGCACAGTTAGAGGGTGAGACTCTGACTTTCTGTAGCACAGAAGAGGACCGACTCATAATGCCTTTCAGAGTGGATGAAGGGGACGAGTATGATGTGCCCAACGCAGAAAACAATTACTGGTTAAGGAGACAGAAGTGCTTGCAATCAGATCACGCCCTTGGAGCACTGTAACTCAGCTTCAGTGACCTCGCCTCAAAACACCGAGGTGAGAGCGAGAGCGCATCTCACAGTACCCAACACCTGAGCACCAGTTGTCCTGCTAGAACTAGTGCTGGGAGGGTGCCATTTCCTCTTCCATTAGTTCCTGTCCTCGTCTCACTTTTGCCTATTAGATTTCATGCTGGAAGACTGAGCAGAACCGGAATGCACACCTAGAGGGTAGCTAACTCGTGCTGCTTTCATACTGTGGTCTTGGGGAGTCATTCTCCGAACCACATATGTTTCTGTACCACCTATAAATGTCTCTTTTCATATTTTTGCATTCACTAGAAGAAACTGAAGATGTGTCTTCCCCAAGGAAGCAAAAATGTAAGTTTATAATTAGATCAAAGCTACTAAATCATTCTTTGTGAAGATGGTATATATAAAGATTTAAACTTTCTGTCCTCTCAAATAGTCTAGTATTATAGAAAAAATGTCTTTAGCACAGACATGAGAATAACATTAAAGTAAGACCTATGTTTCAAGGAGGAATTTGACACTTTTTGTGTCAGGCAAGAGGCAGAGTTGGAAGAATTAGGCACAAGGGCATTTATTGAAGTGCCATTGATGGTGAGCCTCTGCTGCACAGCTCTGATGCCCACTGTCCTAGTCCAGGCTTGCTTCATGAGCATCATTCTCTTGGTGTAATAGATTAGTGGAAGTGATATGATTTTTTACATGAAATAGAAAAAGGTAATGAAAGGATTTTGTGATTCAATTGCTTGGAAATTCACTTCTAGGATTCCAAATTCTTTTTGCATTTTTCTGGCTGTGTGGCATGCTCTTAATATCTGAACTTCAGAACCCTTAATTCTAAAATGCAATCAGTATTCATACGCGCTTACGATATTCCATGCTCAAGATTCTCATTACCCCAAGATGTTCAAATTAGACTTTTTGTTCAGGTGGTAAAGTGATCAATTTCAGATGCACATATGCATTAGATAAAGTCATATCTGGACAGATTACAGGAAGCAATTTTTGAAATGGATATAACTGAAATCTCATGCACATCATGCTTTTAAAATATAGAATGAGACGTTTTTCTGAGGAGATGATGTCTGTGACTCTGGCATTGCTTCTTAGATAACAGACAGGAAATTACAAGGATGTCCTCTAAAGTAGCAGAGCTTTCCCACTTCACATTAATAGTTTATTCATTGGAAAAAATATGGAGTGCCTGCTGTGTTCCAAGTATTGATTTATATACTGAGACTGCTATGCCAGGTGAAAGATGCTCATTATGGGTCTAATATATTCAGATTGTGAGAAACACAGAGACATATACAGTCCACTGATAATTTTAAGTATTACTGCAAAATCCATAAGACAGTATAAATCAACCCGAGCACATTTCTGATTTACATAGCAGTGCTTTCCCAGCTGCTAGTCTACTAGTCTAACCTGCATCTAAGTTGCATAAACACTCAGAACGTCTTAGTTTATAAATAAATATTGAAACATAATTCGATGGATGTAGACAGATTGTCTCAATGCCAGCTTCCTGATTGGGGATATTGTGCTATGGTTTCAGAATAAGTTTCATTGAAAGAGACTATGTGGAAGTATCGAAAATATCTCTGTGCTAGTTCTTACAATTACTTTTACAATTATTTACAAATTAAAATTTTAATTAAAAATTTAAAAAGCAGAACACAGGTACTTGTAGTAAAAAGGTACCAAATATTTTAACATTCTTTAAGGGATTTACTGCATTCAAACAATATTTTCTATATTAATGTTATTATAGGGTAGTTCTATAGCCTCTTTGAGCCTCTTATTTAAGCTGGAAAAATTTGCATCCCCTAATGATATTTTCATCAACAGCTTGTTCAGCGTCAGTTAAATAACTGTGTGAAAATAGTGCATTCATCAGAGACAGGTCAGCAGGAAGGACGCCACTTGTCTTGGCCATTTTCTCACCATTTTAACAAGTAACCAGCACCTAAGTTCAAGGAGGAGAGGTTTACTGGACTTGCATCTCAGAAATTCTTGCCCATGCTCACCAGAGGCAGACACAGAAGTGGCGTGGGACAGCGGCCTGTGTGGAGGGAAGCTGCTCCCACCAAGGCAGAACTCTCAGACATGACACACACACATGGAAGCACACTCACACACATGTCTGTCTCCTTCAGTATGACAAGATAGTGCTCTGAAATGTGTTCCTACAAACTGTCTGTATGGCAGTCATGTATACCCATAGGCTCCACACACTAAGCACCCAGGTATTCTACAAAAGAATATTTATATTATAAATTCCAAAGGGCTTACAATATTCTAGGAAGGACTCTAAGCACTACATCTATGTTGACTCTAATTTATACGTTTGTGAAGTTTGCCTTGTCTTACTCATATGCAAGATTCAAAGAGATTTAGTCACTTGCCAGTAGCTCTTATTACCCTGCCTCACTGGGCTGTACCCCACTCCTGGTAGTATTTTGAAAGTTTTAATACTCATTCTGCCCTCTTCCTTAGCTCCCATCAGTTTCTTCCAGTGTGTCTACTTGGATGGCCACAACGGCTATGGATTTCAGTTTCCTGTCACTCCCGCACAACGCCCTGGAGAGAACTCTGGCAAACCCAGTTCTTCGGGACAGAAGCAGCAAGGACAATAGGCAACAAACACATGACCTTACAAGTGATTTACAATTGGGAAAATGAGATTTTCTGTTTGGTCCTCAGTAGCCCAGGCGATTGAAGGCATTCCATCCTGAGAAGTTCTTTTAAGGCATTTTACTCTTCTGCCTGGTGTAGAGACAATGGGTGGCAAAGGGACTGAATAATAAGCAAATGTGTGGAAGGGTCTGATGCACAACATTCAGTCATTAGTATTCATTTCTATGAGAAGGCACTGCTTGCATTTTTCTATTTTCAATCACTGTAAGGTTGTACACAAATGAAAGTTTACTTAATACTGGTTTTTTAAAAATATAATCAACATATTAACACAATGAAATTCCTACCTTCCATTAGATATCTGTTGTTTTAAAAAGAAATCGATATTGACTGCACAGTACCTTTAAAAGGTACAGGAGTTCATGTAAAAGATTCTTGTGTATTATGTAGGATCTGAACTCAATTGACACAATAAGTGGATTCTGAATAGTTTTATTCTGTGTGCTTCTGTTTCTCTTTTAGTCATACTAATACTGTAGAACTGGCAAAGAGTTGCACCAAAGACTGCTGTATATTCTCTGTGACGCTCTTACGCTCAGGATATCTTTGAACGTTAGACGCACTAAGATGAAGAATAAATGCTTGACAACTCTTATCTCTAAGATTTGTCTTGAGTGACAATTAAGGCATTCACTGAGACAGAATTAAAACAATTCAATTAGGACATTCACTCCGTCCAGGTAGGCAAGTCTGTTGAGTCACTTGTTTTAAATAAAAGCAAACGACATGTACTGAATCTTAGATTTCTCCAGACTGCGCCCTCATGAAAATGCCTCTGATGTGAAGTCTCAGATCAATCACGGAACATGGATCATAAATGCAAAAATATGTTCATGTCGTTGAAGCATTCACAATCCTTTTATGAAATGGCTTTCTTTTTCACATTAGAAAAATATGAGAGCCACCAAACTTTAAGGAAAACATTTGAACTGTGGATGCTTTCATGCCTTGACTGCTTTTAAGCTCATCAGCACCCACGAAATAGCTCCAAACTCACTTGACAATTCCTTATGGGAAATGACTACTATGGTTTTGTCATTTTTCTAGTGACAGAAACACTCATTTTCTTTGCAAAGTTTTGCTCTCGACTTCTAAGGTCATTTCTGTGATCTTTATAATGTTTACAGTTGCAAAATCTAATGACGCGGTAACTCAGGAAATAATGAGTTGTGCTTTCTGGCATTATGGTTATCTTCCTCGAGGCCTGACCTTGCCAGATCCTGTATCATCAGGTGAATTATTTTCAATGACTGCAACTATTAATGGTTTTTGACACTTAACAGTTTTGCTAAAAATTCTTAATCTAGAACATCTGTCATACGTTCGTTGTTTTAAAAAAGTGAATTTCAGCGAGTTTTGTGAAAGAAGTTGATCTCAGCCACATGCTGGCAGATCTAATTCATACCACAAGACCCAGCACCACAAGGAACCAGATTAATGACACTTTTTAGGGGCACACATCTGGAAACAACTTCAGGTTGAGCCAGATATACCAACTTATAAAGCCCCTTCACGTAGCTGGATAAACTTGCCAGTTCGACAGTGAGAAAACTTTATTGTTGACTTGCTCTCCAACATGTTGAACTTAACAAGTTAGAAACAGGGAGATAATGTGATACCTGTTTTATATTTGACAGAACAGAATGTAATATCACTAAATGATTAACATTCAGTGACAAGCGAGCACTTAACTCTTTCTACACTGTCTGGCCCTGGACTGTGTAAGACAAAGCGATGCATTCGATCACCAGTGATAACCTGGCAAGTTTGCTAAATGGACTGTATCTATTTTCTCAAGTATTTATTCTACTTGAGTAAAGTAGGGCTATGAAGTGCAACACCCTAATAGCTCTCACAGGTACTATGAAGATTGATCAAATATCTTCCTATGTTTATGGCACCAGAATACATTTCTGAAATAATACTTTCGGACATGGCACTATATTTTCTCTTTTCCATATTATGTTGTCCTTTCTTTTATTCTCATTTTGAAAATAATTTGATAAAAACATGCATATGTCATTGTACTTAGAATTTAGTTAAATTGATTATAACGTAAGCAATTTTAATTATTTAAATTCTTCTGACTGAGATTACAATGGAGTTAACACTCATAAAATACCATTCTAAATTGTCATCTGTTCCAATCAAATAAAATATTTCTAACTCTTTCAAGTTCGATGTCTTATATTTTAAAAAGGAAAAGACAATGGTTGCTGCTTCTCCATCATGACTCAGTACTAGTGTCCTGTTGCCCACGAGCATATACTTAGCAATTGTGCTAACTTTCTGTTCTGTCAAGCTGCTGTGAACTACCTTTTCCTACCTCTTACATGCTCTGAGTAGTTGATGTTTCTTTGCCCACCTCTTACACACTCTGAGTAGTTGATGTTATGTAAAAAACAAACTTTATTTCACCCAAGGTTTTAAATTTATGTTTAGCTTGCATAAAGCCTAAGAAAATATCATTATAACATGGTCTAGATTTTTTTGCAACTAACATTGACTTGAATCATTCTGATGTATCCTTGTCAAAAGTAATCACAGAAATATTTGAAAACAATGCTATGTATTTAGAGATTTAGCTTATTTCCTACAGTAATTTTGCTGGAGGGAAAAAAAGGAACTTGGTGCTAATCTAGTCCAGTTGGAATGCAACAAACATAAAAATAGCCACTAGGGAAATTCAGATATTTGTTCAAATTCATTGCTAATTTCAAAGCCAGGCTTTGAACCTTGAAGCCTTTAAACTTTGAACCTTTGTCACTTTGCGCTTTCCTCGGGGTGTCATTACTAAGCTTAGCTAATTTCTCCAGCGCATCTTGATATGCCTTTCAAATAATCAGTGTTAGAAATGTGACCCTCTATGGAAGGAGGTAGGGATAAGGCAAAGTAATCGTAGGAGTAGATTAGGCGACCCAACTAGGGGCACAGTGCTTATTAGTGCAGAACTATATGGAGATCTCAGACCTTCTTTGCGAATCCTGTACACACCCTCTTGCTAGGCTCCTCCTGTGATGTCTCTGCTCTCATAAAGATTCCCTTTGTAATTTGCACCTTTACTAAGACACAAAAGTGCAGCACGGTGCCCTGTGCATTGGCCTCTTCACAACCTTCGCCTTGCTCCTACCAGGATGCTACTGGGGCCAGGTTGTACCCTTCCCACTCGTGCCTTACACGAACTTGAGCAACAGTGAGATATTCCCATGATGTCTTCCTGTGTTCCTGACATGAAGAGCTTGACTTCCCCGGGCTATTGGACTCCATAAAACTTCACTAGTCCTTCCACTGAAAAACTCCAACTATTGTCCTTGGGTAAAAAGGAAGAAACGATAGCTCACTTTAAATTAGTTACAACTCCTCAAGAGATGCAAGCTAATAGAATAACAGCAACAAATGATTATAAAGCACATGTAAGTGTTAGACCAAATCGCATAAGTAAAACAAATTGTTGCTTAACCGTGGTTAAGAGCCACACCATTTCTAGCAAGAAGCATCCTTTAGCAAAGTGGTAAGAACACAGCAGGAAACTCTTCCTTTTTCACACAGCCACATTTAGCAGCCAGCCACGACCCCTCTGCCACGACGTCAGTTCCCCTGTCTGTGTTCTCTGCCGGATTTGGAGCAGGATGTAGCTCTCACCACTCACTGGTGCTATTACTGTTTTTTATCCACCACCTTCAAAGCCCCATTAACTGGCTTAATAGTCACTCAGACGAGCCCAAGTCTCCAGGCAGCTCTGACAGGCCACATGTGTTTTGAGAACAGCTGTGCTGTGGTAGTGTCCTAGTGGCCCTTGGAACTGAGGTCACATGCTTAGGCTAACAGACACACTGGTCGTTCATCTCTGGTCCTCCTCAATTCTTGCCTTTTAAATGAAAATAAATGTTCCTTTTGCAAAGGACTTCGTGTCTCGTGAGCCCAGGACTCTAGGAACGGACTTTATATAGATATGTTATTCCTGGCACCTTTCAAATTCCCATCATCACCATCGTCATCATCATCATCATCATCTTTATTATTATTATAAAATGATTTTATTGTTACAAAGTAGCCTAAATTCGGCTGCGCTAGAGAGTGTGTGCTGCTGAGTGAGCCCAAGCAGCCAGTGGAAATCAGAACCGCACCAGGCAATAAGAAGACGAGAGCGTTGCCCTGGCAAACACGATTTTGCTTTTACAGAAAAATAAAATCACTGCTTTGTGTCATTTTCATGAAATATTGGTGTCAACAAAGTATGGCAGCAGCATATCCTCAACCTATGAATCAGCACTGTGAATGAGCAGATGATATGGCCTGAGACTCGCGCACCCAGGGCCGCGGCTACGGCATTCAGCGCGCCTTGGCACATCGGCAGCTGCTGCAGCGGGCTGTTGGTGACGACGCTATCACTGACATAAGTGCTCCTGCGGCCTCCCTGATCGCGAAAGCATTTAGCATATGACTTACTCAGGAAAGAAGTGCTGCTGCAGATTGCTAAAACTCAGGCTCAGATCCTTGTCCTCTGCTGGGCATCTTCTACCTCGGCGTGCACGTGACGGCTTAGGAACCAGTCAATAACCTTGTAAGAAATTCCGCAAAGAATGTGTGCTCTAGGTCGGTTCCCTGTGCTCTTGGGCCCTGGGGACCTAGCCACAGAGGCTTTCAGAATGTGAGGCTTCTTCCTGGCTTGCAGAGAACTTCAACGCCTTCAGCTGGTCCTGCCCCACTCACTGCCACCCCCCCCCCACGCACCCCGTCCCATCTCCCTGAGGGCAAAGCAGAGGTGGTATGGTGTTCATTGAGGTTACTTCCCTTTTTCTCCAGAATTTGACCCACTGATTTTTTTTTTTTTTTTTTGTATTTAGGACAGCGTGTACAGGATGCACAGGGTCTCACAGTGTAGATCGGACTTGTAGTGATCCTCCTGTCTACAGCCTCCCAAGAGCTGGGATTACAGGCGTGTGCCACAACGCCCAGGCTCAATTGCCATCTCAGCAAGCCCCGGGGGCAGGGCAGGCACGGCAGGCCCAGGGATTGAACTCCCAGCCCTTGCACCTGCCTAAGCAAGAGCTTTAATCCGCTCAGCTATTTGGCGTCCCTGACCCAGTGATTCTTGACCGATGTGTTTGATATTTTATTCCTTTAAAATTGTGTTTCTTTAATTAGCTTTTCTACTTGTTCTCAGCAAGGGATTAAGTTCGGGTTTGTTTGTTTGACAGTCTTTTTATGTAGCTTAGTCTGTTCTCAAACACAGTAGTAATCTTTTTGGCTCAAGCTCCCAAGTGCTGCTTTATAGTCAGCAAGGGATTAACTTGAGAAACCACTACAGTATTGTCCATGAAAACTCCTCATGTGTTTTAATAGTAGTATAATATTTCAATGAGTAAATGTTCCATAATTCACTGAGATATGCTTACTCCACAAGCATTTAGAACATTTCCAATTATTTTTATATTAATAGCAAGATATGATGAAAACCTTTGACATAATCTGTTGCACGTATCTCTATACAAACACATATGCACACACACACATCTTAATAATGTGGGCAAGTCCACTGAAGAAGCATTATTTTAATTTTAAAAATGATTTTAAAAAATGGGCCAGCAAGATAGACTAAAGTGCCTGCTTAGGCAAGCATAGGGACCATAGTTCAATCCCCGGCACCACATACCACATCAGCCCCGCCGCCAGGGCAGGCTGAGCTGGCCACAGAGTCTGGGCGTAGTGGTGCACTCCTATAATCCCAGCGCTGAGGAGGCTAAAAGCAGGAGGATTGCCACAAGTCCAAGCTGCATAGTGAGACCTTGTAACAACCAAATACATAAAGATGATGATGATGATGATAATAATAATAATAAAATTGTGTTAGTTGATACATTGTGTCAGCTTGGCTGAATCAGCTCTGGGCATGGGGGCCCAGCCCTGTCCTGCTTCCATGGAGAAGTCCCCGTCTTTGGAGGAGCCTGATCTTCGCAGCTGTGACACTGCGGGGGAGCTCCGATCTTCGCAGTGGAGCGCTAGTCTTCGCAGTCAGCGTCGAAGGAAGACAGAGGCTTGAAGATGCCGCAGCTGCTGCTCCTTCTCTGCTCTTCATTGTTTTCTGCAACCATGAGCTGCTGTCCTTTCCCTTGGAGCCAGCGGAATATGGACTGAACCCTCCAGTAACTGTGAGCTAAATAAACCTTTCCTTCCTTCATTTTGGGTGTCAGGTATTTGTCCCAGCGACGAATAAAAAGTAACTAAAACAATAATAAAACGATACAAAATTTCAAAGCAAGATGAGAGATTAGCAAAGGTGTATATTGTTATCTTCAAAGTAGTTGCTCAGATTACCTGACATAGGCACGTAAGACTGATCATTCATTGAAAGGGGCAGTTAGTAGGTCAGGAGAAATTTTTTATTAAAATATATTTATTTGAAATTGTTGGGGGGATGACTTTCCAACAAGGATGGCCTGGTCAGTTACAAGGATGATTCACAAAATTCACATTCAGGGTGTGGCAGTCTCCTGGGGTGAAAATGCACCGCTATCCTTATACTTTGTCATCTGCAAATGTGAAATCCTTTCAACATTCAGCGATTCTGAGCGATTCTGTTGACGGAAGCTTCATTTGTAGTATGTTGACTAATTTTTATACAGCTTTGAATTTCCATATTATTCTCATTTCCAATGCTTGTTGAATATAGATGCTTTTGGAGATTTGTTGTTTGTTTTCTTTTCTTTGTAGTTCCATTTGGATCATAGAAAATGTCAACTTTTGGAATTCAACTGGTGCCAAGAGTAAAATTCATATAAAAAATGTTGAAATTTTTAATAAAACATAATTTAGCATTCATAAATACCAATATTCTACCTCTAACATTGTCTAGACATGATTTTAGGTAAATGCAACAAAATATATTGCACAAGTTTCTCTTATTCAAAATGACCTACTAAAAATTCTTTGCCTAATATCTTACCTTTCCATAATAGTTGCAAAGTGTATTTATTTCTTCCCAAATGAAGTTTTAATGTGGATGAGATTACCCACTTTTGAATGAGATTTAGTTTGCAATCACTTAAGTTGCAGAATCATAAGACTATCCTAAGGCAGAGATTTTCAATAGATCATTTTGAATAACAATAATCTGATGCCAATGTTTCAGAGTTATGGAATAATGTCGATTTACAATCTCATCATGAGCCGGA